TTGTTGTCACTCTATAATCACATCTGGCATTCACAGCTGGCAACATTCTGGCTTCCAAGGTTTTCTCGTGTAGTGTCTTGTTTTAATTTCAGAATGCACATTCAGTGATGGGGTGTTTTTAAGAATAAGGGGTAGCTGTGTAATTCTCTATAAAAAATGAAGCACAGGTACATGTAATATTACATGGGAGTGTGAGATACAACAAATGGAATCTCATTTAGACAAATCTAATACATTTTTAATTCTTTGAATTTTTTTAAGAAGATGAACACTTATGCTTTTTACAATAGAATTATTAGCCTTTTACATCGTTAATTTTCCATTTTAAATTTAGTGCAGCATAAACTCATAGAGGTGCTAGGAAAAATATTCAAAGTGTCTGCAGACAGTTAGTGTTCGTAAACCACGATGACAAAACCTCAAAAATAGATGCAGCCCTGTCAAAGTTAAATTGAATGACTCAGTGTCTGGACCACTCAGAAGGTTTTTTTTCCTTTCTTTTTTTTTTTTTTTTTTTCTAGTTAGGGAATTGGAGAGACTGTTCACTTTAGAACTTTGGAATCATGGATGGGGGAAGTTTGTTTTGCCTTGTTTTAGAGATGGGAGAGAATGCTATCACAGGAAAGTTGGATAAAAACCAAAACCTCTTAAAATTATATAGAGTAGAACTCAGGTCACTTATTTTTCATGACTTTTATTTTTGAGAGTTACTCATTAGGGTAGAGCTATACCTGAGTGATTATTTTACCCAACTCTCACATTTATAGACAGAGCCATGAGGCTCCCTTGTCTTTCTCCCTCTATAGAGGCTGAATAAGCCAGATAGTCACTTTCCCAGACTCTCTTGTATGTAACGGTGGCCATGTGGTCAACTTTTAGCCAACAATATATAAGGGATAATCTGCTGGATTGTTTCAGGGAAAAATTCCATTCAGTATTTAAAAGACAAAGCCAATAAATAAAAATCTTTTTTAGCCTCCCTGGCTTCATGTTTTTGAATGGGAGTGTGATGCCTGGAGCTTGGCAGCCATCTTGAGACTGTGAGATGGTAAGACTAAGGACGGAGACACAATAGAGTAGGAAGATGGAAAGAGCTTCGATCTTTGATACCTAGAGCCAGCCACTCTACCAAACTGGTATTTCTGTATCAATATCTCTTCCTCCTGTGTGAGACAATTAATTCTTTATGTCTTAAGCCACTTCAGTCGGTTTTTCTGTTACTCAGTTCTCCACACATTCCTAATTATTACACCCTGAGAAATTAATTAATCTGCTTAAGTTCATAAAAGAATATAGTAGCATAATCTTAATTGAAATTCAGGTCTTCTAATTTCTTATTTAATCTTTCCTCACTTCTTTTACCCTGTTCCATCACCAGGTTAGTCTTCACATGAACAAATGAGTTATTGTCTTGATTAAATCTGTTTTTAAGTTGTTGCTCCAATAAATTTTATTTTTCCTTTAGATTAGTATCTGTATTTACAATCCATTTAGCTAAAGGAACTTTCACAAATTTTATAATCCATCTTTGCACAGAAGAGCATGACAAAGTATGTTCAGGATTATGGAAGGATTCGTTTTTATATTAAAAGCCTTGATTTGAGAAGAAGAGGAAACTATTTTGAGTCACATTAATACTAAGAGAATTTGCAACATGCTTGCAAAGTTGATTGTATTTCAAAACCTCAAATTCTTGTCCTGGAGATTGTTTTAAGGAAGAAGTAGATAAAATTATATCAAAATGGGAAAAATACGAGCAAATATTTAGTGAAAAAAGAAGAATACAACATATAGGTAACAATATCTCAAAATATATGAAATTCTGGACCAAAATGATTTGAAATTTTAGCTCTGTTCCTGGATCTACCAATTATTTTTGTGTAATAAAAAACGTACCTGATTGGTTTTCTCTATCTTTAAAACAACCATTTTATGTCACCATAGAATTTTAGAGTTGAAATACTCAAAAATTCAAGGTATCCATTGCCTGGCTTTAAGAGAGGAGCTATCAAACCATTCCACTTAGGTGAGAATGGCTTTTCTTCTAAATGTTCTCTCTTTCTGTCCAGAATAGAGAATGATCATGTGCTATGAATACATATCAAATCATGTGTTAAGACTACTTCTAGCTTATTACATGAAGGATGCCAGATACGAAGGCTACTTTGCTCTTTTCTCCATCAGGTCTTTAGAAGATATCTTGTTTTCTACTAGTCTGTCAAATGACCTTTTACACTTCATTATTATATTGTGATTGAGTTTGATTTCCATGAATGATGCCTTCTACAGTACCTTCATGGTACAATGACTTAGTTTCTGAAGTGTCCATTGGAAAAAGAGACATGATTTCCATGGCAGTAGCAACAGAATAAGGATAATGAAGCTTTAGGAAGCAAAGAGATTCAGATGTTAAATCATGATACCTTCCTGAGTCCAGTAACCATGGTAGTAGTATAGGATAATTGAGGATTCTAACTGTATTGAATGTGTAGTGCAATGTATAAAATAGTTCATAGTGAACATTATGCATGATTATTTTGTATTGTGTTTTGAAGGGAAGGAATAATGTTTTAACATAATGTGGCCTGTTTTTCACTCAGATGATCCATTCACTGAATTAAGAGACATTTCTCCTTTGCACAGTGTAGGAAATGTGAAGGGGGAAAACTGGATTCAAAATGATTTCTCTGATAGTTACTTTGACAGGTCATCAGTAAATTCTTCTTTTATCCTTGCCTATGTTCCTTCTATTATGAAAAAAAAAAAGTATTTTTATGATCCTTCTTCCCACCTGGATATGGAGAATAGTTGATCAATGATCTTTGGTATTTGGCCATTGGGCCTGAGAGGTAGCCAGCATCAATAGAGTGCCAGGGACAGTGACAAAGCAGATAGTTTCTTTTGCTCAGAGATAGCTCTCTATCATCTGAAGAAAAATAAACCTCCCATTCTCACAGTGACAAAGAATGATCAAATGTGCATGGGTCCAAGCCTGTACTTCTTGTACAGCCTGGAATGACTCCATTTTCTCTAGCCAATGTCCTTCAGTATGAGAGCAGGAGTTAGGGTTCTTGATTTTTTGCCTATTGTTGGCAACTGTAAGAACTGCCTTGGAGTGTCCCCCACAGTTGCCCTGGGCAGAGAGACAAAGTCCTCCTATGACTTCTCACCAACCCAAGTTTGCTACCTACTCCTGAAGTCCTTTTAGGCCTGCCATGACTTTGCAGTTCTCTCTTTATTATTACTGTCTTCTTTTTATCAATATGTCTATAGAGTTAATACCCAGGAACTATCCTATAATCCTAGTAATTATTATCTCTAAAGTTAAGTAACTGAAATATTTTCTCTTGATAGCTCTCTAATCATACCACTTTAGATTTCAATTCCCATTCAGTCACATCTATAAAAATCATCATGGCAATAAAACTTAGAAGAAAATGCAGAAGTAAATCTCCATGATCCTGGGTTAGGCGATGATTTCTTAGATACAACAGGAAAAGCACAAGTAATAAAAGACTGTTAACTTCAACTTCATCAAAATTAAAAACTTTTGTGCTTCAAAGGACACCATCAGGAAGGTACAAAGATGTCTGTAGATTGGGAAAAAATATTTGCAAATCATATATTTGAAAATAAATCCAGGGCGCCTGGGTGGCTCTGTCGTTAAGTGTCTGCCTTTGGCTCAGGTCATGATCCCAGGGTCCTGGGATCAAGCCCCGCATCAGGCTCCCTGCTCAGCGGGAAGCCTGCTTCTCCCTCTCACACTCCCCCTGCTTGTGTTCCCTCTCTCGCTGTCTCTCTCTCTGTCAAATAAATAAATAAAATCTTTAAAAAAAAAAAAAGAAAGAAAATAATTCCAGACTATATAAAGAACTGTTACAACTCCATAACAAAATGGCAATCCAATTTTAAAATGGGCAAAGGATAAAAATAGACATTTCTTTAAAAAAGATACAAATTACCAACAAGCATATGAAATAATGCCCAACATCATTAGCCATTAGGGAAATTCAAAGCAAAACCACAATGAGATACTACTTCACATTTACTAGAATAGCTATAATAAAAAAGGCAGTAACAAGTGCTATTAAAGATGTGGAGAGGGCGCCTGGGTGGCTCAGTTGGTTAAGCAACTGCCTTCGGCTCAGGTCATGATCCTGGAGTCCCGGGATCGAGTCCCGCATCAGGCTCCCTGCTCGGCAGGGAGTCTGCTTCTCCCTCTGACCCTCCCCCATCTCATGCTCTCTCTCTCTCATTCTCCCTCTCAAATAAATAAATAAAATCTTTAAAAAAAAAAAAAGATGTGGAGAAATTGGAACCCTCATTGATTGCTGGTAGGAATGTAAAATAGTATAGCCAGTTTGGCAGCTCCTCAAAATATTAAAACATAAGGTTACCAGATGACCCAGCAATTCTACTCCTAGGTGTATACCCAAGAGAATTGAAAATGTATGTCTAAAGAAAAACTTGCACATGAATGTTTATAGTAGTATTATTCATAATAGCCAAAAATAAACTGCCTAAATGTTCATCAAGTGATGGATGGATTGACACAATATTACTTAGCTATACAATGGAATATTATTTGGCCATAAAAAAGAATGAACTACTGATATGTGCTACAACTTGCATGAACTTCAAAGATGTTATGCTGAGTGAAAGAAGTCAGTCACAAGAGACCACATGTTGTAAGTTTACACCCATATAAAAAACACAGAATAAGTAAATCTTTTAGAGACAGAAAGTAGATTAATGGTTGATTAGGGTTTGTGGGAATGGGGGGCTATGGGATGAGAAGTGACTGCTAATGGATGTGGGACTTCTTTTTGGGGTGATAAAAATGCTTTTAAATTAGATTATGGTCTTGGTTGCACAATTCTGTAAATATTCTAAATACCATTGAATTGTATACTTGAACACATTTTTTTAAAGATTTTATTTATTTATTTATTTATTTATTTATTTATTTATTTTAAAGATTTTATTTATTTATTTGACAGAGACACAGCGAGAGAGGGAACACAAGCAGGAGGAGTTGGAGAGGGAGAAGCAGGCTTCCTGCTGAGCAGGGAGCCTGATGCGGGGCTCGATCCCAGGACCCTGGGACCATGACCTGAGCCAAAGGCAGATGCTTAATGACTGAGCCACCCAGGCGCCCCTACTTGAACACATTTAAGTGGGTAAACTTTATGGCATAAATTATATCCCAATAAAGCTGTTAAAAATAATTATGATATATTAACATGAAAACAATGACACTGGGTAAAACTTTATGATTTATCATATTCATTATGGAACAACAATGAATAGATTTAAATAAAAACATTAAAAAAATGCATATTGAATTTTGGCAGTTATCCAGATTTAGGTGCTGACCACTAAGGCACTGGATGTATGAACAGAGGAGATTACCAGGAGGTTATGTAAAAAAAGAACCTGGTGCAGCATGCCAATCTTTATTGTAAGTGGATGCCAAAGCTATTTTTATTGATCAAGATTGGATGGGGAGATGAAAGGGGTACCAATCTAGCCATTGTGCTTTAAAGAAAAATCTGGTACATCTTGGTGATACAAGGATTAAAAAATCAGAGATTTGATAATAGGCCACAGCCTTGGGTACATACTTTATCAAGAAAAGTACTTTTCAAAGTTTGATCTGGGGTCAATTCCCATCAGCATTTTGAGGGGAGAGTACTTATTAAAAATGAAAATGTATCAGTGCCACACAATAGCTGTGAATCAATGTCTTTTGAGGATGAGGGTGATAAAAGATTGAAGGAATCTGTGATTTTAATAATGTCACTATTTGATTCTTACCCCGTACCCATTTTATTGAAGTATAATTGACAAATAAAAATTGTATATATTTCAGGATGATGACTTGGATTTGACACTTTGATATACACATACATTGTGAAATAATTGCCACAATCAAGCTAATTAACATACCCATCACCTCCTATAGTTATCTAGGTGATTCTTATGTAACTAAATTTGAGAACACTGAGAGTAGAAAACCCCTGTTGATTGGATTTATGATTTCTGTCCTACAAAGTCCCTAGAAAATAACAAAACTTAATTTAAAGCATTTCTATTATAATTTTAAATGAAAATAGTTTAATTTATCTAAAAGGTCTAAATTAAACAGTAGACAAATGGTTGTGGCCCAAGATTATCTCCCTTTATTTTTCAACAAATGCACAAATCTTTGTCTTTGTAATGAGGACCTTAAAAGTCACCTTCTTATAAATTACCATTATAAAAATAGGTTATATGGGATGGTTTGTATAGCTAAAAGAGTGTTTTGTACTTACTTTTGGTATATTATGGATTAAGTAGTTTTTTATGGATTAGTGTGGGAATTTACCATTTACAAGGAAGTTTCCATTAGAAAACGTTTTTCATGTTTATGATAATCTTATTAAATATGCACTGTTCATGAGTAAAAGATGATATTTTGGGAAAAGAGCTGTTAAGAGGTTGTCTCTGTCTTTAGTAAAATGACCCCAAATGGATTAGATAAACAAATAATAACAGCAGACTAGGAAATGACCATGAATTTGCATCTTTAAAAAGTTGCTTTAAGTATTTACAGTTAATTTTGATTATTGGCCTCAGGTCTTACAGAAACAGCTAATTGTACTAATAGATGGTACGTATTCATTATGTGCTGCCTCATCAAGGGAGATGATTGTTTAAAATTCCTGTTAATAGTTGAAATTCATTTTTTAAACTAATGATTTATTTATTTTCTTGTTTTATTTTGTCAGCTAGGATTTACAGCATTATGTAGAATAAAAGTTTGAAAAATGTCTAAAAAGAAGTGATTTTTTACTTCTCCACAATTAATATGTTTGCTTGAAAGAAAATCCATGGGAATCTGTAGATAAGGACATTTGGAAAATCCAAAAATATCCATAGGTAAGAGAACCTTTAGAATTTATCTTTTTCTTATTATTTTTTCTATTGAAGTATAATTAACATACAGTGTTATATTAATTTCGGGTGTATAATATAATTTAACAACACTATACCTTATTCAGTGCTCATGAGAAGTGTACTCTTAATCCTCTTTATTTCACCCATCCTCCACGACCTCCTTTCTAGCAACTACCAGTATGTTCTCTGTATTTAAAAGTCTGTTTTTTCATTTGTTTCTTTTTTACTCTTGTGTGTTTGTGTTGTTTCTTCAATTCCACATAGAATGAAATCATATGGTGTTTGTCTTTCTCTGATTCATTTCGCTTAGCATTATACCCTCTAGGTCCATCCATGTCATTACCAATGGGTACATTTCATTCTTTTTTATGGTTGAGTAATGTTACTGTGTGTGTGTGTGTGTGTATCTCACATATTCTTTATCCATTCATTTATGGATGGACACTTGTGTTACTTCCATATCTTGGCTATTGTAAATAATGCTGCAATAAACATAGGAGTGCATATATCTTTTCCAATTAGTGTTTTCATTTTCTTTGAGTAAATGTCCACTAGTGGAATTACTGGATCATATGGTATTTCTGTTTTTAATTTTTTGAGGAACCTCCATACTGTTTTCACAGTAGCTATACCAATTTGCATTCTTACTGACAGTGTACAAGGGCACTTTTTTTTTCCCACATCCTTGCCAACACTTGTTATTTCTCATCTTTTTGATTCTAGCCATTCTGACAGGTGTAAAATGATATTTTATTTTGGTTTTGATTTGTATTTCCCTGATGATAAGTGATATTGATCATCTTTTCCTGTGTCTATTGACCCTCTGTATGTCATCTTTGGAAAAATGTCTATTCAGGCTCTCTGCCCATTTTTTAAATAGAATTATTTGTGGGGTTTTTTTGATGTTGAGTTGTATGAGTTCTTTTATATTTTAGATATTAACCCCTTATCAAATATGTCATTTACAAATATCTTTTCCTATTCAATAGGTTGCCTTGTCATTTTGTTGATGATTTCTTTCACTATGCAGAAACTTTTTATGTTGGTGTAGTCCCAATAGTTTATTTTTGCTTTTGTTTCCCTTGCCTGAGGAGACATATCTAGAAAAATGTTACTACAGCTGATACCAAAGAAATTACTGCCTGTTTTCTTCTAGAAGTTTTATGGTTTCATGTCTCCCATTTAGGTCTTTAGTTCATTTTGAGTTTATTTTTGTGTATGATGTAAGAAAGTGGTCCAGTTTCATTCTTTTACATATAGCTGTCTAGTTTTCCCACCACCATTTATTGAAGAGATTGATCATCTTTTCCTCATTGTATCTTCTTGTCTCCTTTGTCATAGATTAATTGACCAAATAAGCATGGGTTTATTTTTGTGCTCTCTATTCTGTTCCAGTGATCTATGTGTCTATTTTTGTTTTAGTACCAAACTATTTTGATTACTATAGCTTTGTAGTATATCTTGAAATCTGGATTCTGATACCTCCAGCTTTGTTATTCTTTTTTAAGATTGCTTTTGGCTATTAAGGGTCTTTGTGGTTCCATACAAATTTTAGGATTATTTGTTCTAGTTCTGTGGAAAATGCTATTGGTATTTTGATGGAGATTGCATTAAATGTGCAGATTGCTATACGTGGTATGCACATTTTAATAATATTGGTTCTTCCAATCCTTGAGCATGGACCATCTTTCCATTTACTTGTGACACCTTCAATTTCTTTCATCACTGTTTTACAGGTTTGGGGGTATAGGTCTTTTACTTCCTTGGTTAAATTTATTCCTAGGTTGGTTTTTGTTTTTTTTTTTAGCAATTATAAATGGGTTTGTTTTCTTAATTTCTCTTTCTGCTACTTCATTATTAGTGTATAGAAATGCAACAGATTTCTACATATTAATTTTGTATCCTGTCACTTTACTGAATTCATTTACCAGTTTTTTTAGTATTTTTTTTTAGTATTTTTTTGGTGAAGTCTTTAGGGTTTTCTATATATAATATCATGTCATCTGCAAATAGTGAATACTAAGAATACTTCTTAGTGAATACTAAGAATACTTAGTGAATACTAAGAATACTTCTTCCTTACCAATTTAGATGCCTTTTATTTCTTTTTCTTGTCTGATTGCTGTGACTAGGGCTTCCACTACTATGTTGAATAAAAGTGGTAAGAGTGGACATCCTTATTTTCTTCCTGATTTTAGGGAAAAATTTGTTTTTCACCATTGAGTATGTTAGCTTTTGGTTTTCATATATTATCTTTACTATGTTGAGATATGTTCCCTCTAAACCTACTTTAGAGTCATCATGAATGGATGTTTTACTTGGTCAAATGCTTTTTCTGCATTTATTAAAATGATCATATGGTTTTTATTCTTTCTCTTATTGATGTCACATATCACATTGATCAATTTGCAAGATTGAGCATCCTTGCATCCCAGGAATAAATCCCACTTGATGGTGGTGAATGATTTTTTCATTTTATCCTTGGATTTGTTTGGCTACTATTTTGTTGAGGATTTTTGCATCTGTGTTCATCAGAGATATTGGCCTGTAGTTCTCTTTTTTGGTAATGTCTTTGTCTGGTTTTGATATCAGGGTAATGCTGGCATTGTAGAATGAATCCGGAAGTTTTCCTTCCTCTTCTATTTTTTGGAATAGTTTGAGAAGAATAGGTAATAACTCTAAATCTTTGGTAGATTTCATCTATGAAACCATCTGATCCTGGGCTCTAGTTTGTTGGGAGCTTTTTGACTACTGACTCAATTTCATTGCTGGTACTTTGTCTATTCAAATTTTCTATTTTTTCCTGATTCAGTTTTTGAAGGTTATATATTTCTAGGAATTTATCCATTTCTTCTAAGTTGTCCAACTTATTGCCATGTAATTTTATAAGAGATTATAATTCTCTTATAATGCTTTATATTTCTGTGGTGTTGATTGTTATTTCTCCTCTCCTCCAATTTCTGATTTTATTTATTTGAGTCTTCTCTTTTTCTTGATGAGTTTGGCTAAAGCTTTATCAATTTTGTTGATCTTTTCAGAGAATCAGCTCCTGATTTTATTGAACTGTTCTATTGTTTTTTGTTTTGTTTTGTTTTTGTTTTGCTGTCTATTTCACTTATTTCTTCTCTAATCTTTATTTTTCTTTCCTTCTATTGACCTTGAGATTTTTTGTTCTTTTTCTAGCTTCTTTAGGTGTAAGGTTATATTTCTTGAGGTAGGCCTATATTGCTATGAACTTCTGTCTTAGAACCACTTCTGCTGTATCCCAAAGATTTTGGACTATTGTGTTTTCATTTTCATTTGTCTCCATGTGTTTTTTATTTCCTTTTTGAATTCTTGGTTGATCCATTCATTGTTTAGTAGCATGTTATTTACCCTGCATGCATTTTTGTACTTTCCAAATTTTTCTCGTGATTGAATCCTAGTTTCATACTGTTGTGGTCAGAAAAGATGCATGGTATGATTTCAATCTTTTTAAATTTTTTGATACTTGTTTTGTAACCTAACACATGATCTGTTCTGGAGCATGTTCCATGTGCACCTGAAAAGAATGTGTAGTCTGATGTTTTTGTGATGAAATGTTCTGAATATATCTGTTAGGTCCGTCTGGTCTAATGTGTCATTCAAATCCACTGTTTCCTTGTTGATTTTCTGCCTGGATGATCTGTCCATTGCTGTAAGTGGGGTATTAAGGTTCACTTATTATTGTATTATCATCAGTTTCTTCCTTTATCTCTGTTAATAGGTGCTCTGTGTACTTAAGTGCTCCCATGTTAGGTGCAAGATTTTTATAATTGTTATATCCTCTTGTTGGATTATTCCTTTTATCATTATGTAGTGTCCTTTTTTGTCTCTTGTCACAGTCTTTGTTTTAAAGTCTGTTTTGTCTGACATAAGTATTGCTACCCTAGCTTTCTTTTTGCTTCTATTTGCATGGTATATATTTTTCCACCCCTTCACTCTCAATCTGCATGTGTATTTAGGTCTGAAGTAAGTCTCTTGTAGGCAGCATGTAGGTGGATCTGGCTTTCTTATCCATTCAGTCATCCTGTGTCTTTTGATTGGAGCATTTAGTCCATTTACATTTGAAGTAGTTATTGATAGGTATATACTTATTGCCATTTTGTTATTTGTTTTACAGTTGTTTTTGTAGTTCTTTTTCCCTTTCTTCCTCTCTTGCTCTCTTTCCTTGTGGTTTAATGGCTTTTTAAATAGCATTCAGCTAATTTTATGAATAGAAAATTAACAACAAAAATTCAACATTAAAAAACCTTGGTAGTGGGGTGCCTAGGTGGCTTAGTTAGGTAAGCATCCACCTTTGGCTCAGGTCATGATCTCAGGGTCCAGGGATTGAACCCTGCATTGGGCTCCCTGCTCGGCAGAGAGTGTTTCTCCCTCTCCTTTTGCCCCTCTCCCCGCTCGTACTCTCTGTCTCTCTGTCAAATAAATAAATAAAACCTTAAAAAAAAACATAACTCAGTAGAGTTTGTATATAATAGCACAACCTTGTATAAATGCAATATAGAAAATGGTATAACTCAAAAAAGCAACAAGCTAAGAAAAGGAGAGTGCAGCATAGGGTACAGAGAGAGAAAGAGAAAGTATAAGATACCTAGGACAAAAATGTCACAAAAATTTTTCCTTTCTTCATACAGGAAATTATGAAACTTTTTTTAAAGTCATAAAAGACATGATATAAGCCCTTGGAGAGACATACCATATTCATGGATGGAAAGACTCCTAAAAATATTAAATCTCTCCAATTTATCTAAAAATTCAATGCTGTTCCAATCAAAATTCCTAGGGGGCTTTTAAAATAATTTTATAAAAGTGTACAGCAATTCTACTTCAAAGTACAGTCACATATTTTAGAGAAATACTTCTTTGTATGTACATGGGTATTCATTGCTTAGAATAGTAAAAAATGAAAAACAACCTATTGTTCACTGGTCATTGAATAGATAAATTAACTGTAGGTTATTATTATTGGTCAGTTAAAATGAAGCACTTGCATCAATCTGCATGTGTCAATATGAATAGATTTGAAAAACAAAATATTCAATGCAAAAAGCAAATTACCAAAAGATATGTATATATGATATAAAATATGTGGGACTTAAAAACCAAAATAGCACTATATATTAACTCATGCATACATTTGTAGTAAAATTATGCAGTCTTGCATATAATTGATTCCTCAAAACTTCAGCGCACCTCTGGGGAAAGAGGAGTGGGAAGGCATGTGAGTGGAATTAGAACTTCAGCTGTATCTGGAATACTTTATTAAAAGAATAAAGAATAAATAAATATGAAGCAAAGATGGACTAATATTAACATCTGTTAGATATGGGTAGCAAATAATTAGTTTCTGTTATACTTGAAATACTTCAAAAAACACAATCAATAAACAAAAATTGATTTGTAGAATTTTCAGTGCTGATCAACTTTTAAATGAACTGACATAATGCCCTATATTTAATTTAGATCCTCTCATCAATATTTGCCATACCTAAAAGCTGGACAGATGGCAAATATAATATTCCTTCTATTTGACAGATGGATGACCTGGAAGGTTTAATTACTTTCTCCTAGTTACATAATAAGTAGCTCTGGAAATGAAATATTTTGGTCAATAACTTTGGGGTTTAGCCATCACAGGGAATGTGAGACCACAATGCTTAGCCTTTAGAGTTTCTACTATGAGACAAAATAACATATTCACATATATGTTCTATTATATATCTAAAACAGAAGCCCTATACCTTCAGGTATAATCAGACACTTTAGAACAAGAAAATATATTCTTAAAATTCTAGTTTTTCTCATGACTGCTGTTATAAATAAGCCTTTCCATTCTGACATATTTCAAATAAATGATTATTTATCATTTTTTTAAAGATTTTAATTTATTTATTTTGAAAGAGAGAGAGCATGTGAGCAGGACAAGGGACAGAGGCAGAGGGAGAGAGAAAATCTCAAGCAGACTCCACACTGACCATGGAGCCCAATGCAGGGCTCAATGTCACGGCCCTGAGATCATGACCTAAGCTGAAACCAAGAGTCGGACGCTGAATGTACTGAACACTCAGATGCCCCTATTTATTATTTTCTAAAGTGAGAGCTTTTGACGTCAAAGAAAAGCCAAGAGTAAATCAGGTCTCTTAGCAGAACATTTGGTTTTCCTACTCCAGAAATGGGTATTTAGGACAAAGAGCATCTGGATTGTATTCAGGAGACATAAATTTTCTTCTCAAGTCTTCCATTGGCTGACTGTGGCCTATATCAATTTTTCAAATCTTCCAGGATCTGTAATAGATTATGGAAGAAAGATATATCAGGTTGAAAGAACAGCATTAATCTTAAAATATATTGCTTGTTTGGAACATGGCAAAGAGCCTGCTGGTGCTGGAAGGACATGTTTATGGAATGCAATAGTAGGAAATGGGACTGGGGAGGCTTTGGATTTTACTCAGCAACAATTGAAGATTTTTGAGGAATGGTGCAATGTTATCTTCATTATGCTTTGCTTGGGAATATTGTCATTCAGTAATGGCAAACAGCATATGAAGAAACCATACAATATCAGGTCAACCAAATAGAGACTTATTTGGCTTACAAAATGAGAAAAATCAGGAGGTGAAGAGACCAAAATGGTGCAGGATCTCCAGACGGTCATCAAAAACTCAGATTCCTTCTAGCTTCCTGTTTCACCAGCCTTAGCTTGAGACTTTTGTCCTCATTCTCTCAGAATGACTGTTCCCCCTCTAGGCAGAAAGAAAAAGGAAACTAAAAAGATAAAATGTTTATTCTAACTAAACAGTAATATAATGGCTTTGATGGAAGTTCCATCTAATAGACTTAGGCTTATATTTCATTGGCCAGAAGTGGATCACAAGAAGTCTGGGGCTGTATATGTTTTGTGTTTGTGTGTGTATTTTCTAAGTATAATTTATTTACAATAAACTACATGTATATAAATTGTACAATTCATTATGAAATCATTACCATAATTAAGATACCAAGTATATCTAGGAGGTGAATATTTTAAAATGGAAAATTTGTCACCTGAGTAACTCAAGATTCTTTTATCAAGAGGAAAATGGAAAAATAGGTATCAAGAAGCAACCAGCAGTATCTGCTGGAATTTCTAGATTCAAAAGTTCTCCCAAGGGTAACCTTCAACTAGTCCTCCTAGTTCAGCTTGGTGGACCCCAGGAGAGCTTATAGGGAGAACCCAAGGCAGGAGCTTGCCTTGGGATATTTTCTGACCTAAGTCTGCCTTGGCTGATAATATGACTTAGAGGTGAATGTGATTTTTAGAGTCAGACCAAGGTTAAAATCCCAGCTCCCTTTACTAACTCATCGTGTGGCTTTGAGTGATTTAGTTCAGTGAATATTTTTTGAGCACCAGCTATGTACCAGGTATTCTGCCATTCCTTGGGCATATGGCAGTAAAGGGCAAACACAGTCCATGCCTTCACAGAGCTTACTTTCTGGTGGCAACTGAGCCTTTTCTATAAACAGGAGTTGTGGTAAGGATAAATTTAGTTCCTATGACATGTAAATGCTAGTTAAATGGTAATTGTTCAGAAGCTGTCCTAGATTTGGATTCATTCTGCTGAAACTTGTACTTACATTTGGGAGCTTAGATCTCTCCATTAGAAGTTCTGCTTGATTTTTGATTAATCCCAGGAGTTCTGGGCTTTTTTTGGAGCTAATTAAGGCCAACTAAACTGTGACCCTAAACCTCATTGGGTTAAGAGCACATGACCTAGTTTCTTCCGTCTGGGGAAAGATAGTTCTCAACTATCGTCTTGGAATGTCAGAAATCCCCTGCCTCTGAAAATCCTTCTATTTTGAAGCTATTCAAGTACTAGAACTTATTTTTCCCACCCCTCCCTGCTCACCCCTCTGTGGGTAACTCTGGCTTCCTTTTCCAGCTGGGAATAATCCTAGTACTCCAAAGACATTAGAGCACCTGGGGAAGCTAGGATTTATCCTAGATTATGCGGACCTTGATTCTAGACACAAGATCCCTGATTTCTCCCAATGGAATGAAGAAATGCTAGGAAGATCAACAGTTCTCCTTCTCCTTGCAATTTGTTTTGCCTTTTGGTATCATCAAAAATAATGGAATATTATAATAATTACTTCTTATTGAGTAACTACTATGAGCTGGGCACTTTATATATATTATCTCATTTAATAACCTTGTAATTATTCATATTTTACAGAAAGGGAACTAAGTCTGCAGAGATGACAAGCACTCTGCCCAAGGTCATTTAACCCATGGTGGATGGAATTGGGGTTCACACCTAGCTCTGTCCGACTTTAAGCCTCATTTTTTTAGCTGCTATGTTACACTGTGGAATTACCTATTCTTGGGAAATACTTATCACAGCCATGGACACAGTTTGGTAGAAATCCCAAATACCTTAATGGTCAATTCTATTTCCCTTTTAAAACTCACAATTCAGCCATGTGTCTAAGGAAATGTGGCTGTCTTTGCCAAGCTCCTGGATTCTTCACCTTGAGCCTGGCAGTTTACTCCCTGGCCTGGCCCTGTGTGCTGTTGCCAGTTCTGAGAGCTTGCTGTGCACTCTGCCCTGTCAGAAACTATAGTTGGCCTCCCTACATACGCTTGCCTCTAAAGAAGAGTCCTTCCGTTTTTTCATCCCAGAGTTAGTTGTATCTGAAATGTGCTTGGGTGGGCACTTCCAGTGTGTGCTCTGAATTTTTAAGTGAGTTGGGGGGTAAGAAATGGAAGAAAGTCAAAACAAAACATTTCATGAATGTCCAAAAAGCATGTGAAAGACATTTCTACTGAACTTTCTGATATTCCACCTCTGGCCCCGTGATGGTTTCTCCCAAATACTGCATGTTTTAGACATAATTAAACTTAATTTTTTTGTTAATCTAAAATTCAGATTTATCTGATGGCCTGTATCTTATCTGGCTACCCTAAGTTGGACAATGTATTTATTACGATCATGACTGACAGGACCTGGGTTCTTATTCTTTGACTATTTTAAATTCCTCTCCTTGTGTGATGATGCAAATAAGTCCAAATACTGTATTTAAAGAACCAACTCAAATGTTGTCTTTCCTGTTCCCTATTCTTCCTATCAGAAGTAATATCTTCTTCCTCTGAATTTTATGGCCTATCTCTTTTTTTGTTTGTGTGTTTGAATTCTAGTTGTGTAAGCATTTCTCAAAGAGAGACTGAGACCCAGTGCTTCTGGTAAGTGAAGTTATCACCCTAGAAATTTGTCTGTCTTAGAAAGATTAAAATTTGTTGATAATCAACAAGAAACTAAAACTGCTTGAGGTCTGTCCACAGTGGGAGTTCATTTATCTGCATCATGTGCTGAGGTGGCCCTTAAGAGGTTCATTTTGCAGGGAGAGAGAAGTACAGCTCTGAGAGGAGAGTTTCTGGAATGGTGAATCACCTCAGAATCTTCCTATTGGGGTTAGTATTTTTGGTTTGTCTCTGCTAGAATTTTACATATAGGAACCTTTTTTCAAATGTGAGTTTGAGCTTTTTGTGGGGGAGAGATATGTTCTAATTTTGTGCAATATAAGATATATTAGCTTTTAAAATGGTGTCTGAAGTTTTACATTCTTTTCTAGCCTGTGAAAGCAATTACTAATAGTTTAAAAATCTCCAATTCCTTGGTAATTTTCTATAATTTGTGTATAAAAACTAAAGGGGCCTAGAGCCATATTCTAAAAATAAGGTTTGACGACATTTTAAATTCTTCTCATGATCATTGATGTACATGGGTTGTCTATATCTTCTTGATTCAATTTTAGAAATTTTAATTTTTCCGTAAACATTTTTATTCACACTTTAAGTTTATTTCTATAAAAGTATATATAATATTTCTTTTCTTTTCTTTTCTTTTCTTTTTTGAGAGAGAGAAAGAGTGAGAGTGGTGGCGGAACAGTAGGAGAGGGAGAGGAAGACAATCTCTGGCAGACTCTGTGCTGAGCATGGAGCCCAACACAGGGCTCTGTCTCATGACCCTGAGATCATGACCTGAGCCAAAATCAAGAGTCAGACACTTAACCACATGAGGCATGCAGGCACCCCTGTAATATTTCTAACAATTGAAAAAAATCCCCTCTATATCTGTTGATTTGTCTCCTTACACATTCTTTTTTTTAAAAAAAGAAAATCATAGCTTTTAATGTGTGTTGTTTTTTTTTTTAATTAAAAAAGAACATATGTAGGGGCACCTGGGTGGCTCAGTCATTAAGTGTCTGCCTTTGGCTCGGGTCATGATCCCAGGGTCCTGAGATCGAGCCCCTCATCGGGCTCCCCGCTCAGCAGGAAGCCTGCTTCTCCCTCTCCCACTCCCCCTGCTTGTGTTCCCTCTCTCCCTATGTCTCTCTGTCAAATAAACAAATAAAATCTTAAAAAAAAAAAGAACATACGTAAATAGCTGAAAACAATTTGTGCTGGAATTCAAAACTTTAGTTTACTTCCTAATAGAGACAAGTAGCTTTATGTTAAATATAACAATATAATTTGCAAGGCAACACAAAAGTAACATTCATATTTATGTTACTTAATATAATGAGAACATGCAGATAAACTTACATTTTATCATTATATACCTTCAGAATACAACTTAAAGTCATCTTTTCTTATCTTGTCAGTGAAGTGCTAAAAATTATATTAATTTTTTTTGAAAAAAATTTTATTTAAATTCAATTAATTAATATATAATGTATTATTAGTTTCAGAGGTAAAGGTCAGTGATTCATCAGTCTTATATTATATTCAGTGTTCACTATATCACGTGTCCTCCTTAATGTCCATCACCCAGGTACGCCATCCTTACGCATTCTTAATTTTTCCTAAAGCTTGTTTTTATCCAAAGAACTTGCTCACAGACTTATTTTTAATTCTGTTCCTTTTTCATTTTCCAATTTATTAAAATATATTTTTACCTTTAATTATTTCTTTTTTGTTCTTTAGTTTTATTTCACCTTCTAATTTGTTGAAATTATATGTTTATTTCTTTCATTTTCACTATTTCTTGATAATGTAAAATTATGTGAGTATTACCAAAAGCAGTTTAAGCCATCTGTCATAATTTTAAAAATTTAAACACAATATTATTTTTTCAAATGATCTTCAGAAAAGTAAAAACAAGAGAATGAAAGCCATCTATAATCCAACTAGCAGGTTTAACAAATTTTATTTTTTAATTTCTCTTTTAAAGATTTTATTTATTTGTTTGTCAGAGAGAGAGAGAGAAAAAAAACACAAGCTGGGGAGGGGCAGAGGGAGAGGGAGAAGCAGGATCACTGCTGAGCAAGGAGCCAGGATCCTGGGATCTTGACCTGAGCCAAAGGCAGATGATTAACCAACTGAGCCACCCAGGCATCCCAGGTTTAACAAATTTTAACCTTTTGAGGCATATCCTTTTAGATTGTTCTTTTTTCTCTGCTCTCTTTCTTTCTGAACATATGTATTTTTAAAAATGGTATCATGCTATATATGCAGTTTTATATTTCTTTGCTTTTCAGGTAATATTTTAACATCATAAAATTCAAATCTATATCATCATTTGTAATAGCTGCATAACTTCCCACAATTTGGCTATACCATAATTTGTTTAAGCTATCCGCTATTGATAAATATTAAAGTTGTTTCCTATTTTCAACATTTATATTTTTATAATAAAGGCTGAGAAATTAATAAAGCTAGGAACAGGGTGCCTGGGTGGCTCAGATGGTTAAGCGTCTGCCTTGGGCTCAGGTCATGATCCTGGAGTCCCGGGATCGAGTCCCGCATCGGGCTCCCTGCTCGGCGGGGAGTCTGCTTCTCCTCCCTCTGACCCTCCTCTCTCTCTTGCTGTCTCTCGTTCTCTCTCTCTCAAATAAATAAATAAAATCTTTAAAAATAAAAAAATAAAAATAAATAAAGCTAGGAACCTATAAAAAGTTTGCATTGGGAATGACTGTACATACCTTTCTTTTTTTTTTCGGATTCATTATTTGTAATTCAAATCCTCTTATTACACTTGACATTTAATGTGAAGCAGGAAATCCACTGTCTTTCAATGAGTGTTTCAATGAGTTACAAATGAGTGTTTATAACATAGTAGATACTCATTAAAAAGTTAAAGAGTTAAAAACTCTCCCCTCTCCTACAAAAGGTAAGTCATCATTGATTTTAATAATTTTTTAAATTTTATTTTATTATGTTATGTTAATCACCATACATTACATCATTAATTTTTGATGTAGTGATCCATGATTCATTATTTGTGTATAACACCCAGTGCTCCATTCAGTACGTGCCCTCCTTAATACCCATCACTGGACTAACCCATCCCCTACCCCCCTCCCCTCTAGAACCTTCAGTTTGTTTCTCAGAGTCCATAGTTTCTCATGGTGTACATACCTTTTCGAGCAGCCACATTATTTCTTTAGTGTAGGTTTCCGGATATAGAATTATTTGAGAGGGGTCACTGGATATGAGTTTACAATGTTTTAATAAATTTTGCCAAACTCCCTTCCAGATTGGTTGTGTCATTTACTCTTCCACTAACAAAAATGAATGAGAATGTTTGCTTTGGGACCAATAGCTATAATCATTGCCAATCCAATAGAATAATTTATTTTTTAAACAACCTATTATTGCTTTAATTTCCATTTTTTTAATTACTGGTGAGGTTGAATTTCTGATAAACTTATTGACCAATTAGCTATGTAAATATGATTTATAATGTGAACATATGTAATGTGTTTAAGCCATGTAAATAGACCTGGCACAGAACAGGTGCTGTATAAGTTGCTATCTTATTATTACTTTTAACTTTGTTTTATAAATTGCCTGTCATTATCTTTTACTTATTTTCTATTGATATTTATTTTTAAGTTGTCTTTTAATAGGAATTTTGAGTTCCTTTGGACCCTGGAGTTAATGAGGAGAGTGGCATTTGAGTTTTTCCCCCCTGTATGGAAATCTATTTATTAAATAAATAATATTAATTAGAAATTTATTAAATTTCTATCTTAACTTTTCTAGCTTTGCTTTTCGCTGCCTGGATACATGTTCATTCATTCTATCCCTTGAAATGTTAAGATTTCAAGAGGTGTTAGCCTTCTTTCATTAATCTGCCATATTAGAGAATCTTTTTTGTTTTAACATGTTTCAGTTTCTTATATTATTCCTTCTGTCTCATTTTTTCCTGATATTGTCTGAAATACTAGTAAGATTGGATTTTGTTTTTTATCATTCATTTATAACATTATTTCTCTCATCTTTTAGATCTGCCCTTTTTTTCCTGCATTCTGCAAGAACATTTTAATTTTATTCTTCACATCACTGATTTTATTTTCTGCAGTGTTGATTCAATCCTTATTGCTTTCTCTATATTAGAGTTATGATACTGCATCTTTTGGGCTCCTTCACTCCTCATTTTCTTTTTGCTGCCTTTTACCCAAGTAAGCCTCTCTGTAATTTGTAATCTAACCTCATTTTGCCTTTTACAGTTCATGTTTTCTTAATTTTATTGGGGACACGAAGCACATGCTTTCTAGTATTTTCTTCTATTTCCTATATAGTAGGTTACTTTTAAATTTTGCTTTTTTTCATCTTGAATGTTGTCTTCCATTTATTATGCCATAGAATACTTTTATAATCCCATTTCAGTAATTTTTCTCCCTGCTTCTCATTTTTGTGTGAGCAATGGACTACCATGTTTGGTGTTTGCTCACGAACTGGTAGGTTAGACCCCAGCTTTCTGCTCTTAAGCTTGACTACAGCTTGATATCAGTTATGTTATTGGTTCGCAGATCCAACTCCCACAGCCCATGAGGAGGAAGAAATGAGGTGGACACTGGGTAGTCCAGCAGAGGGATGCTGACTGTGTCCTTTTCCCTCCATATTTAGTGAAGGTGCTGTACAGGTGTCAGATTTCTGGGCCCAGCTTTCCTTTCCTTTCGTTTCTTAGCCAACTTGCCTTCTATTTTATATAAGCTGCACCTGTTCCCTCCCAGCTGCAGTCTTACTGCTTTGATATGGCCTCTGTCAGAATTTAAGACATGAAGAAACACTCAGATGCCAATGTTCCACCTCAGCAAATTGAAGCCTAAGGGGTTTACTCCCTGCTGTCTTAGATGCTCCCAGCCATCAGATCTTGTCCCTCCAACTAAATGACTATGCCCCAGAGAATTTGAGTTATTTCTTGGTGACTGGTCATATTTGCTTTTGATCTGAACTACTTTATCTATAGCTGAAACCCCTCTAAGTTTCTCCTTTGTGAGTGATTATCTTCCTGGTTTCTAATTTGAAGGGGACTTTCTCTTGTCTTTTATCACCCTTTGAACATTTGACTGGAAATCTGAGAATGGGGGTGTGAAGCACCCGTGTTCTGATTTACATATCCAGTTCTTTAACTATCGCCTGTTTACTAGAACATAACAGACATTCAAAAAAATGGCTAATGA